AATGCCCATATCACTATTGTATATAATGTGTTCTTTCGGCACATGCAGTTAGAGAAATCTGTTATACAGCCTAAAACGCTGTGGACAGAAATCAGATTTGCTTTGACTCACCCTGATGCCAGACTTGGCAGCCTATAAAAACTCATTCCAATAAACAAGCCATCAATAATTCCACTTCTCATAAGTTATTAGGCATTGGGAAATGAACCAAAAACAACTTTGTCTCAGTGCTGCAGACAGAAGGTGTGAGTTCACCATGTATTACTTTTGTGCCAACCAATACACACGCTCTAACCACTTTGGAAAAAGCTCTGTGGAGCTCCTGTAACTTCCTCAAGCACAGGACACATGTTTGGCATAGTGATGTAAAAGGGCCCAGACTCAGGTAATTTTCAGTGTTTTCCAAATGAGTATATGTTGTATATGAGTATATGATACTATAATAAATGCTGTTGTTTTTCTGGAGACTTTTTTCAATGTTTGGATGTTAAAAGGAGCCCATAATACAAATGCAAGAGTAAATAACATTTAAAACTGTACATAGGTAAAAACTGAGACAAAGGATCAAGTTATAGCAAAGTAAATAATCTTGATTGATCAACTGATTCCTTTCAGAGTTCACTGACGGGTTATCGTGCTTTAGTTAGGCTTCAGTAAGAATACATTAGAGACCTCACATTTTACTTCTCATGCGATTGAAGAAAAAAAAAAGAAAAGAAATCACGATCATAGGAATGAGTAATTTGTGCGACTGTGAGCTGAAGCCATTCATTATTTTTTTCTTTTGTTCAGAATTTTCATTCAGTTTTTAAATGAAATGACGATTATATCAACAACACACGGCACACATCACTTGCCTGCCTACAAGCTGCACAGGGAACAAAAGGCGGTCATGTTTAACTCGTGGCCTTATTGAACTTATCAGTGTTATTTGGACAGATTTCAGGAATGTGCCACTGGTAGCAATGAGCTTCAACTATCCTAGTTTCACTGACCTAGTTTAGACAGCTGTGGGAGTCAGTCTGTAAAAGGCAATTCTCTTCAAATTAATAATTTATATAGACTGTCCACATCATTTAGCTCAGTGCAGTCTATTTTTCTGGAAGCTAAATTTTCACCCAAAACAAGAGAACAAAGACCTAAATGTATTACACATTACCAGCTGCCATTAAGACTGAACATGAATATGTATTCACGAAATCTGCTCAACTCAGTTTTCTTTTTTACACCTTTTAGAATTACAGGCAAAAATCCACACAGAATCACACAGTGTTGAAATTATGCAGCTACACAGTCATACTTTTTCAGGAAGAAAGCCAACTTTAACAAGACTGAAATCATTTTTTGTATCGTCTTCTGCAAACATCTTTTCTGTTTTTGTGGTATATACACAACCTTGAGGAATACCATAGTTTTGTACGCATATCTTTTCTATGCAGTGGGTTAATGCAGCTAACATTTCAGGGGAACTTCCCATTGATTTCAATATTAAATAAGTGGTGTAGATAATATATATTGTCGGGGACACTAAACGTCATTAAGTCGAGCACAAAAACCGATGTACTCACCAGTCCACCTATATAGCCTTGCTGTTTTTACAATCACCCTTTTGTAAACTAAAGGAAAGGCTTTAGTAGAAGAGGTAAGCAGGCTAAATCAAACTACAAGTTGGAAATTTAGCAGTGGTGACGTTTATATATGGTTTGCTCGAAAGCCTAGCATTAGCTCTTTACATCGATTATATTTAGGCTTCAAAATTCCTAAAAGTGATGTCCATTTGTGATGATTATCATGCGGAACAAAACCTGTAAGTATCATAAACATTTGTTTGTCACAGAGCTGATTTACTGCAGTAATCCAAAAGCCAGCGTACAAATCCCATTAGCTTTTTGTCGAGGGACTGTCGAGGTCCAGGGCACTTTATTGTAACCACATTGTTTTATATTAATGTAATGAGGAAATGTTGTTCATTTACATATTGTAATTTTGAAATTCCTTTAGGCCAAAATATCCAACCTTGCAGCAGATTATCCACTAGTATGGAGCATTATTAAACTTTTGTAGGGTTATGTTTTGGCACGATCACTGGTTTAATCCCAAAAACATCCACAGCGACTTGAGACGCAATGTGATTGTTTGCATTTAACTTAAACCACACTCTGACCCAAACCTTAACCAAAATGTTTTTGTTGCCTAAACCAAACCACAGACAGAGATGCTGATGAACCCCAGTCTCTGGTGTGATAGTCATGTGCTTTGTATGTCCACCGTCCACCCTAATCACCTCCCGGCAACAGATGCACTGTTTTATTCACTGAAAAAACATAATGATTACAAGTTTCATCAAGCATAATCAACAGACCAATTTTGCACTATATAAATGTCATTTCCAGGAGATAGATATGTTCAATTGCACCTAATGGCAGAGAGTTAGATGAGAAGATCGATACCACTTTCATATCTGTCCATTAAATATGAAGCTACAGCCAGGAGACATTATTTTAACAGAAGGACTGGAAACAGGGGGAAACAGCTTGTCTGCCTCTCTCAGCATCTCTCAAGCTCAGTAATTATTAACACTTCATATCTTCTCTGTTTAATCCATGTGCAAACCTAAGAGAAAAAAAACAAAAAAAACTAACAAAAACAAAACAACAATTCACAGTTTTATGGGGTTATAATTCTTGGCTGGGAGCAGTAACTGCCTGCAATCTCCACTGGAAAATGAAAACATAAAACAAATAATTTGTCATTTTTATACTTCAGTTTTTGTATGGATTAAACAAATGAGAGGTAATGTGGCACTTAATGAACCATCTGCTGGCTTTAGTCTTATATTTAATACACAGGTATGTGAGTGGTATTCATTTCCTCATCTACTCTTGGCAAGAAAGTGAATAAAGGTATTTCCCAAATGTGGAACTATTGCTTTAACCAGTAATGTTTCTCTGGCGATACTACTTACTTGCATGACAACAACTACTTTGATAGTTAGAATATGGCTTCTTTTATGAATTTAGTTTCCTTGTTGCTGTAGTAGTTCGTTTCTTTGGTCTAACTCTTGTTTGTGGTATTCTTTTCTCATTTCATCTGTAATCCATATCATTGACTGTATTATTTTTCATAGTTTCACTAATTGCCTCCAGGAAAGGCCAGCTCCCATCCTCAACCTTTGTTGAGAGTGTGTTTAGCTCGCTGCCAAGTTGTGCACCTACACATATAGTGTACATTAATGCATAAGAATGTGAATGCAATCAGTAATAATGTAGAGCTTTTGACATGGTCGATGCAGTGATTCCACTGCTCAATTTGTCCTCTTACTTTTCGACTGAAGAGATCATTTTTGTCTTCACCTCCACTCAAAAACACACATAAGCTCTGTTAATCCACCTTTTTACAGGCTTATACGAATCAGCATGACTTGAATTCAGACTATACAGCCATTTTATTTTTCAGTAGAAAGGATTTGCCTTTTAATGCTCACAGAGGGTGGCTGCTAAAACATCTACATCAATGACAATACTTACAGTTGCCCACTAGAGGGAAGCGTCTACCCGCATGAGTCGTCAAACCCGTCCTTCCAAAACAAAGTGTAGCAGCCCCGCTGCCCGAGGACATCATTACACACTCAATAAAGCAATAGTCAGTCATTTTCTCTGCTTAATTGATCCCACTGCTACCCAACAATGCGTGGTGTCACTTTTTTTTTTTTCTTTTACTGCCGCAGACACAGCAACATACCTCAGAGTCAGACATGCTATTTGTAATTATCTTGTTGCTGTGTTGTTGCATGACCGGCCGTCTGCATACAGCATGCAGTACACTTGTTGGTCAGGAGCTGGGGGTCAGGGGCTCAAGCAGTGCATTCCTCCTGGAACTCCGTCTGTACGGCTGTAATGATATTGTCCTAGTATTTATCAGGGCTTGTGAAACACTCGTCTGGAGGAAAAGAACACACGGTGCTCTTGCCCAATCCAAAACTGTTTGAGAACAGATATGGAAATTGACAAAACCATAAACGAACACAGCGGAGGCTTGATAAGATAATGTTTATGTTTACTAGGCAAGTCAACAGTGCAGTCTCCCTTGCTCTTACTCACACGCGACACACATCCGCACGTGCACGTGCACACGCACACACAACAGACACCAATGCGCATTGTGTATTTCATGAAATCATGATTTCAACTTTACTTGGTAAATAAAAACAATATCTTTGCTTTTCCCTCCCTATCTGTTGCCCAGAGTGTCCCAACTCTCACCTGCTGAGACGTGAGAAACACCCAGGACAGGTAGCCAGTGCAACCCACTAACACATAGAGACAACCATTTGCATTCACATACTTACACACAGGCATTTCAGAGTTTCTACTTCACCCATACATTGAAACCCAAGCAGGAGAGAACATGCAAACAACATACAGAAACTATATGCTACTGCTACTACAATGCTACCATTGTATATATAAAAACTCATTCAATATAGTATGGTGATGGATAAAAGCACACAAGCTCAACAAAACAAACATTTCCTTTCATTTGAAAAGCATGTAAAATGCAGCACTGGCAAATCACATCTACTGGAAATAGATTTTTCTCTTCTTTTCACAAATTAGCAAGACAGACATCATGTTACTGCTTTGTGTGTGTTCCCGCAGCCTCCCTCACTCAGCCACTCCTTGTGCTGTCAGCATGGCAGGGTGGAGCTGACGGAACTGCACATGTTTCAAGCATGCTCTGACGCTTCACTCCTTCCCTTTCTGTTTCCCTTCCCCTAATGCGTGCGCGGCTATGCTGAAAGAGAAAAGAGGAGGGCCCAGTACGTGTAACCAGCTATGCTGTTTACCAATCACACGGGTTTCCCCACCCTCTCTCGCTCCCTCCCTCTCTTTTTGCTCCCTCCCTCTGTCTCTAGGCACGCCAACCTTAGAAAAAAAAAAAAAAAAAAAAAGTGCAGGGAAAAAAGTGATAAGCAGCAAGCAGCTTCTGGGTTTTGCTTTCAAGCCACTCCTGCTGAATCGGTGTGAGTGAGTGTGTATGAGCGTGTGCGTGTGTGTGTGTGGGGCGTTCACTCTTTCTCCTGCCACAGTAGCAACACATTGCAGCAGCGTCGCCCCGAACAAAAGGCTAAACGCAGCAGAGCCGCAGGAGGGGAAACTCAGGGATAGAAGCAGGCAGAGTAGCCCAGCGTGACTGCACTTCTCAGGGAGGAACTCAACCTGCCATTTAGCCCTCCTGGCCCTGGAGTGGAGACAGGACGGTACACTAGACCAGCCCACGCTGCCTGTCTGTCTCTCTGTCAGTGCTGAGGAGCACACCCTGTTACTGACAGCTCTGTCTGTCATTCATACACCCCAGTCTCTGTCATCCTTTACTGAGATTCCTGCACCTGCCCTTCTTCACCTGGGCGTCCTTCCTGTTCATCCACCTGTCCTCCGAGATGTCAGACGATGACTGCCGCTCGCCCATCGGCCTGGACTGCTGCAGTTGCTGCCTGGACCTGGCCAACGGCGGTGACGACTCCATGTCTGGCAGTCCGGCTCAGGGCCTCGGTACTACGGGGGGCCTGCCGGGAAGCCCCACCAGCCCCAGTGTCAATCACTTCCGCCAGCTCCGTAACCAGCTGATGTACCAGAACCTGAACACGGACAAGCTGAACAACATCATGAGGCAGGACTCCCTGGAGTCAGTTGTGAGAGACCCCTGCTTCCTTCTCAATGAAGGGATCTGCAACAGCAACATTGACCAGACCATGCTGTCTATACTGCTCTTCTTCCACAGGTATGTCTGTTGTTTGCTTATCTGACAGGTACATCATGCTTATCTGATGAGGTAACAAGTGAAAATAAAAGGTCTCCATCTGAAAGTTAGACTTTGCTCGTGCTCGAGACAGTAAGTGCAAAGTCCACCTCTCCACTTTTGGAGAGGTGGACTTTCGTTTTGTTTAAATGAACAGATGGTTTTGGAGACTAATCAGTTCTCCTGGATCAGCACTTCTCCTGAAAAGGCTGACATAAGTATTTACTGTTATGCATTAAGTATAGGCCAGGAAGAGGGCACTCATTTTGATTATGCTCCAGAAATGAGTTTCAGATAAGACTGTGAAAGCACACCATTACTTACATATCATTCACAAGTATATAGAAACTTGCAGGTTCTCAAGTTTAATTTGGATGCATCTTTGTCTATGCCTGATAAAAAAAGCACTGTGTGTTTTTCTTTCATTTTTATTTCACATTTAAGTAATTACAATATGTATCCAAAACTTTCAAATGTCCAAATGTTTATGCAGCTCATCGTGTCTATTTACATCTGCACTCTCCGTGTCTTTCATGCAACATATTTGATACATTACCCAACAGTGTTATAATTTGTTTTCCTTGAGTAAGGCCATGCAGTTTAAGGACAATCATAAATACTTTTTTTTGTTTTTTTTTTTACTCTTGAGAAAGAAATGTTGTTCCTGGATTCAGTCTGAAAGTAGAAGTGATGATTGGTATTGACAGATCTTTACTTCAAAACAACAAAACGGTACGTGGAGAGAGAGAGAGAGAGAGAGAGAGAGAGAGAGAGAAAAGCCAGAAAACAAAACCTAACCTAAAAAGAACGTCTTACAAAAACACAAGGTTACTCTAAAACAGCAGTTTATGGTCATGCTGATTCAATTAAAATGCTCTTTTATTGCTAGAGGTCAATTAAAACTGGCCTGACTCCTTCTCAGTCTCCACCAAATAGTGTTTATAAAACAGTGTTTGGCAGCTCACCTCGCAGTTTTTGTGAGGAAGAGAATGTCCTGCTACAAAGTTGCTGCCAGTTGGACAGTTTGTTTGGCAGCTACTGTCGAATGACTTCAGCCTCAAATTAACAGTTACCATCTTTCCAGTCGGCTACAGTTCTGACCATCACTGAACTCCTGAACCCGAGCCAGCACTTACTGTACAGCGCTCGGTGAGAAAAGCTGTCATTACATAGGGTCTGCGGTGGTTATAGGAGCAGGGAAACGTACAGATCTGAGGGGAAATGGCAGTTAAAACAACACAAAGCTGTTATCATTGTAAGGGCCACCTTTGAATGTCATATACTCTGTGGTCGTCATTTGTGTCTGTAAAACAGAGATATGTGTTACAGGATCATGACATATGTGTCAGACGTACAGTACATACGACATGTGATAGCACTGATCTGATAATTTGGCAATAAAAGAGGGTTTTCTTTTGGTGTACAAAAGGAGTCTTGATCAAAATTGACCTTTGCCCCCAGCCTCACTGTATATTTGAACCAATAGCTGAGTTCTTCCATTACATTTCAAGTTAAAGCAATAAAAAAAAAGGAAGAAGAGTAGAGGTCTGTCACAACTGCCATGTCAAGAAACGCCTTGGAGGAACTTCTTCAAATTGGGCACAAACATTCACTTGGACTCAAGGATGAACTGATTAGATGTTGGTACTCAAAGGTCAAAGGTCAAGGTCACTGTGCCCTCACAAGAATTCATACGCTAATTATGACAAAACTTCATGTCTAAAAGGATAAAATGATGGAGTCATGACACTTTATATTGAAACGGTCAAAGGCCAACTTCACTGTGACATCATGACTTAATGTCTGCAAAAACACACTTCTCTGCACATTGCTGAACACTAACACAGGAAAGGAAGTGCAGATTGTGACTATACGTATTTCCTGCAACTTAACTGGTCAGTGGCGACATACAGACAAATGTGAGGTAGCAATTCTAGCTTTAAAAAAAAAAAGACAGCGCGTATACAGCTTTACAACACAAGTTGCCCTCTGGTATGTGAATCCATAAAATACCCTTGTTTTGAATGACATTAATTAACACATCTCAGGTAAAACCCGTTTTTTCCCATCCTAGTCAGATAAAGGATATCTGTAATAATGTCTGTCCTGATAAAAAATTGCCTAGAATGAGTATGGTATGATATTTGCTATCACTGCTTCAGTTATTTAAGGGCGATATCATATCAGTAATGTTCTCTGGCCAAGACATGTTATCAGTATTTTATCAAACTTCTCCAGAAGCCCGGCTGCTACAAAATATCCAAATACGTTAAATATTAACCTGATTTAACTTTGCTATATGTTATGGCTGTTAAAGACCGTTCTTATCTCCTGTGACAGTTATCACATGACTACAGATGGTACAATAAATGTAAGTCCATTTATTGTGCACTGAAAGTGATGGGGCTGATGGTGATGATAATTAGACCATAACTTGGTTTAACCTGATTTTGTTGCTCTTGGCTGTAAAAGCTTATCAGTGCCAAACTCTCAGGCTGATGCAGAGTATCACATTTTATATCACTTAATAATTAGACAACAAGGCTAAATTGTCCCTGAATAAAAGATCACATACAGGCTATCTGAAAGACTCCCACACTCACTTTATTTTTCCGTCTGTTAAGTTACACAACAGCTGCATGTTTGAATGCTAATTAATCTGACACCATTTTAGGTGATATGGTTCTTGCTGTGGAGCTGCATTATTGAATAGAGGAACAAGTTGTTCTCTATTTATTTATGATAGCAAGGGTGTGTCATTAAGGATGAAGAACATCGGGTGAAGGAACTTTGGGCTGAGGACTGCAGCTCCAGCTCCAGCTGGTGCTCCCTTCTGACTAAGAGAGCTAAATAAATCAGTGAACAAATACTGCTTTTCAAACAAAAGATTTTTATTTCAGTACAGTGCGGTCAAATTGTTCTTAGGCGTCTTGGATACGCTCAGTTGACTTATTATTCACTTCATTCAGTGTTTACAATATCATACTTTGAATAGTGCCTGCTGGCAATGCTTTGTTAAAAGGGTTACACAAGAGCTTTTCTGCTCTGCTTCATTTATTTCTTCACTAACCACAAAGTTATACTTTCAAGGTTATCCAATTTATTAGAATATTCATACAATGTCATTAGGAGAAAATAATTCAGTATTAAAATTTGATCTTTGTATCTGCTTATGTGAAAAATGAATCACACACAGGACTGGCATCTCCCAGGAGGTGAGAAAAATCAGGTTACAAGAGCCAATATTTGTGACGTTTCTGGCTCAGAGGCAGAGGCATGTGTTCGCCCATGCCATTGGCCAGTGTGACCGTGCATCTGTCTGTGCCAGCTCAACTGTTTGCCTGACAAACAGAGTCTTTAGTCAGAACACTTTGTTCCTGAACCTTCCCTTCTCAAGAGGGAATCACAGACACGGATCATGTGGCTTTCATGGACAGGCTTTCTTGCGGGATTAAAACATTGATTTCTAACGTGTACCCTTACAGTTTTTCATGCAGAAACACAAACGCACTCATTCATTCACACATGTGCTCACAGTCTAATCCAGTCAAGAAAGCTGCCTTGCTGAGCTGAGGTTTGCAGAAGTTCATGCATTTTTCAAGTGCTCACTTCGGGAGGGCCCAGCTTCTGATGAAAGCCTGGCTGAAGTTTTTACTGTGTGACTTCACCCTGGGTGGTCAATCTGCCAAGCAGCCATCACTCTCATTTGCCACTTGTTAACAGAATAAAATGTTCAGCATAGCCCATGGAAGGATGCCAGGATGCTCTTTTGGACTTGTTGAATATCAGTATGAGGCAGTGGCCGCGGCCAGCAAACGTGTTATGTAAATGATTCAAGGGTCACGGAAATGTGCTGAGAGGAGAAATTGAACTCATAAGTCCTGTTTGGTGTTTGAGGCAGAGCCAGAGAGCCCCTGAGGGGGACAGGATCTGTGATTTCCACAGGATAAAACCAGAGGAAATGTGCTGATTTACTTTGAGGCTTAGTGAGCTACACTTGGCTGGAATGAAAGAAGTACTCTTGCACACCTTCACCCCAGGCGGTCAGTCAGTACTTAGCAGCCACTAAACACCATCACATGCCAGGGTTCAGAGGGGTGAAGAGCCCGCAGCGGTGACACAGTAACATTTATCGCAGGACTTCAGGTCTGTGACCAGTCAGTCAGTCGGTCAGTATAAGTAGTCAAAACACAAAGGAAGAAGAACATCAAAACCAGCGGCGGCACAAAAGATGTCACTGACTGTGGCAGCCACTAACCGTGGGGACAGGGCTGAAGAGTTTACATCCTTCAGTCAACAGAGACCTCGATAATCCATCTATTAAACCTTTGAAGAGAGAAAATTTGTTTTAAGAGATCGAAAGCATTGATGTAGTGCTGCTGGAACGCACCGGAACAATGCTCTGCCACTTTTTTCTCTCCAAGTGATGAAATAAAATATCTGAAGTTCACATGATACAGTTGAAATTCATCTAAATCTTTTTTAAGCAATTGAAGATCCAATCATCAGTTAAGCCTGTATCTGATAAGAGAGCCAATAAAAACAAACTGAAAGGTCAGAGTTCTCATATTGACATTTAAGGTGAGTGACGCAGAAGAAAACATTCCATCTTAAAAGTTGCCAATAGCTGCCGGTAGCCTTCGAGCTGCACGGTGAATTAAACTGTTGATTGTGTCACTGTCCTTTCATCCATCATTCACCCCTTCTGACATTTCCGTACTTGTGATGCATTCACACAATGCTGCTGGAAACGAAAGCTAACTTAGCCTGTTAGCTTAGCTTAACTCCACCTGAACTGCAACTTTTGCCAGAATGGATGCTTCCGATGTGGCTTCATTTGCTTGGCACAATCAAGTAAATGCCATAGGGGCGCTCCAGTACTTAATCAAATAGCGCGACACCTCTGACTGAAAGGTATGCAGACTTTCATGTGGCCTACCTGTCTGTAGCTCGTCACCATAGGAGAGAAAAATGCTTCGAAA